AACTTTCAAAATATAATATAGGAGAAAATGTAGATGACATGGGGTATAGCAATGACTTTTTAGATACAAGACCAAGGACACGATCTATGAAGGAAAGAATTGATAAGCTGAACTTCATTAGAATTTAAAATGTTTGCTCTGTGACAGACACTACCGAGAGAGTGAAAAGACACAGACTACAGAAAATATTTACAAAAGACATACTTGGTAAAGCACTGTTATCCCAAATATACAAAGAACACTTAAAACTTAACAAGAAAATTGGACAACCAATCAAAAATGAGCAAACGATGCAACTGACACCTCACCAAAGAAGATGGCAAATAAACATATAAAATGTTGATCAATATCCTCTGTTATTAGAGAATTGCAAATTAAAGCAACAATAAGATATCAGTATACACCTATTAGAATGGCCAACATCTAAAACACTGACAACAGAAAATGCTGGCAAGGATGTAGAGTAACAGAAACCCTCATTCAATGCTAATGGGAATGCAAAATGAAACAGCCGCTTTGGAGAAATTGAAAGTTTCTTACAAAACTAAACATACTCTTACCATATGATCTAGCAATCCCACTCCTTGGTGTTTAGCCAAATGAGCTCAAAACTTGTATCCACACAAAAACCTGCATGTGAATGTTTATGCGTTTTGTCTACAATTGCCAAAACTTGGAGAAAAAAATACAAGATATTATTCAGTAGGCGAACAGATAAACAAGTGGTGGTCTTTCTAGATAATTAAATATTACTTGGTAATAAAAACAAATGAGTTCTCAAACTCTGAAAAGATATGAAGGGCCGATAGATGCACATTACTAAGTGAAAGAAACCAATCTGAAACGACTACATACTGCATAATTCCAGATATATTGACGTTGTGGAAAAGGCAGAACTACAGCTAGCATAAAGGATTCAGCGGTTGCCAAGGGTTGGGGAATGGAGCAATGAATAAATGAAGCACCGAGGACTTTTAGGGCAGTGAAACAACTCCGTATGATATTATAATAGAGAATACATGTTATTATACATTTGCCTAAACCCACAGAATGTACAACACCAAGAATAAACCCTGATGTAAGATGGACTTTGGTGCTAATGATGAGTCAATGTAGGTTCATCGATTGTAACCAATGTTCCACTTTGATACAGAATTTTGATATCAGGAGAAGCTGTGCACATGTAGGGACAGAAGTATATGTGATATATCTATATCTTTGCTTAGTTTTGTTGAGAACCTAAAACTATTTCTGCTACTAAAAAAAAAAGTTTGTTTTTGAAAGTTTCAGGCAAAAAAGAAAACTACAGAATGATCAAGTAGGGTTGATCCCAAGAACACAAACATGGGTCAATATCAGAAAAATGTATCCATGTAATTTATCACATTAGAACTGAAAAAGAAAGAAAAAATATGTTTTTACCAGATGTAAAAAAATAAAAATTTAGTTTAAAAAAAGCATTATTTAATAAATAAATGTATTTCATAAAAATAAAAACTTTGAAAACTATGAAGAAGAGAAAACTTTTTAGCTTTTTAAAGACTTTCTACCAAAAACATGCAGCATACATGATCTTAATAAAACAATATACTCCGGGCACGGTGGCTCAAGCCTGTAATCCCAGCACTTTGGGAGGCTGAGGCGGATGGATCACGAGGTCAAGAGATTGAGACCATCCTGGTCAACTTGGTGAAACCCCGTCTCTACTAAAAATACAAAAAATTAGCTGGGCATGGTGGCGTGTGCCTGTAATCCCAGCTACTCAGGAGGCTGAGGCAGGAGAATTGCCTGAACCCAGGAGGCGGAGGTTGCGGTGAGCCGAGATCGCGCCATTGCACTCCAGCCTGGGTAACAAGAGCGAAACTCCATCTCAAAAAATAAAAAAATAAAAATAAATAAATAAATAAAAGATATACACACATTCTCTTTAGAACTTGCAATAAGATAAGAACCAAAAATGGAAATAAGAAATCTAATTCAAAATTGAAAGGAGGAGAGATGTTTTAAGTGTGTTGCTAATAAAATTATTTGCATGGAACATTCAACAAGGCCAGCAGACAAATTATTAGTTTAGTAGGTTTGCCAGAATAACACACACAGATTAATAGTAGAAAAAGTAGTGGAAAATAAGATGCCATTTAAATAGCAAACCAAAAGTCCTGGCCAGACACAGTGGCTCATGCCTGTAATCCCAGCACTTTGGGAGGCCAAGATGGATGGATCGCTTGAGGTCAGGAGTTTCAAGAGCAGCCTGGCCAACAATGTGGAACCCTTCTCTCTTTCTCTCTCTTTCTAATAATAGAAAATAACTTTTCTATTATTAAAATAGAAAAATTAGCTGGGCATGGATAGCAGCTGCCTGTAATCCTAGCTACTCGGGAGGCTGAGATGAGAGAATTGCTTGGACCTGGGAGACCATGGTTGCAGTGAACTGAGACTATGCCGTTGCACTGTAGCCTGGGCAGCTGAGCAAGACTCTGTCTCAAAAAAAAAAAAAAAAAAGAAAGAAGAAAAGTATAAAGTGTTTAGGAATTAACGTAACAAAGAACACATAGAAACTTTAAGGAGGAATTTTTAAAACTCCATTAAATGATATAGAAGATGACTCTGACAAACTGATGCTAAAAGCTATATGGAAGAATAAAGTTTCATGAATATCTAAGACCATTTTGAAAAAAAGAAGAATGCCAGGCGTGGTGACTCACCACTGTATTCCTAGCACTTTGAAAGGCTGAGGTGGACGGATCACTTGAGGTCAGGAGTTGGAGACCAGCCTGGCCAACATGGTGAAATCCCGTCTCTACTAAAAATACAAAAAATTAGCCAGGCATGGTGGTGGGCACCTGTAATCCCAGCTATTCAGGAGGCCGAGGCAGGAGAATTGCTTGAATCCAGGAGGCAAAGGTTGCAGTGAGCCAAGATTGCACCATGGCACACCAGCCTAGGCAACAGAGGGAGATTCTGTCTCTAAATAAATAAATAAATAAATAAATAAATAAATAAAATAAAATAAAGAAGAGCAAAAAGGAAATGCCTTTACTGACCAAATAGACATTACAAAGTCTAGTAACATGAACAGTGTTTTCTGGTAAAGTGGCCTACCCAGACACAGACCCATGATGATATGAAACTTGGTACATGACAGGGATGACATGCCAAATGTGATTACATTGGGAAAAACTGGCTCACCATGTGGAAAAGATAGTAAAATTTATTCCCCCCCCCCAAAAAAAAACCCTTTTGTTAGATTTGAATTTAAAAACCTAAAAGTGAAAGGTAAAACTAAAAACCAATAGGAGAAAATGTAGCTGAGTATTTTCATGACCCTAGGATAGAAGGATTTCATAAATACTATGGAAAGTACACAAATCACGGATAAATTTACCAACTTCAAAGTAGCTATGTATGTGCAACAGTAGCTATAAATGTGTCATAAAGTTATCAGAGAATTGACAGGCTAGGGTAAGATACTGTTGAAAACTGATAAGTGACTAAAATCTAGAATATAAGAAGCTATCTGCAAATCAGAGAGAAGGCAGGAAACCCAATGGAAATGAGTAAAATACATGAACCGGCAATTGACAGAAGGGAAAAGTCAAATAGCTAGTAATATATGAAAAGAAGCTCAGCCTCATAAGAAATCAGAAAAATGAAAATGAAACCACAATGAGATACCACTTTATACATACCAGATTGATAAAAATTAGAAAAATCAGAAAATACTAAGTATTGGTGGAGAAATGAGAACCCTCGTGCTTTTCTTGCGGGAGTGTCAGCTGGCTATTTTAGAGAACAATCTGGCAGTATTTAGTAAAATAATATGTGAATTTGCTCTATAATCAAGCAATTCTATGCGTATATATCCAGAAACATTCTTGTACAGGCACACAAGAGAACATGCAAGAGAATATTCATTGCATCCTTGTTGGTGTTTGCAAATTCTCCAAAAGAACTTCCTGTCATTCATTCAAGGATTGGACAAGTAAAGGGTTTGGGCAACAGCCTGAAGGAATGAGTCGGATTTACATACGGCAGCAGGATGTATATGTCCCGGAAACATCATGCTGAGTGAAAAAAAGAAAAAGCATTAGATTTATCTCCCAACACATCTCATGAAAATTCAACACATAGGCACACAATAACACTGATTTTCAAGAACAGGAATTTGTCTAAATAAACATATGAAAAATGGATTAGAAAGATGCCTAATACGTTCACTAGATTAGGCCCCTTTGAGGCTATTGAAATGGAGAAAGGAATGGGGCTGGACGTGTTGGCTCATGCCTGTAATCCAAGCACTTTGAGAAGCTGAGGCAGGATGATCACTTGAGCCCAGGGGTTTGAGATCAGCCTGGGCAACATAGCAAGTCCTCATCTCTCTCTAATAAAAAAAAAATTAAAAAAAAAATTAAAAAAAAATTAGCTGTGTGTGGTGTCACGCGCCTGTGGTCACAGCTACTCAGGAAGCTAAGGTGGGAGGATCAGTTGAATCTGAGAGGTCAAGGCTGCAGTGATCTGTGCTTACACCACTGCACTCCAGCCTGGGTGACAGAGCCAGACCCTGTCTCAAGAAAAAAATAAATAAATGAGAGAGAGAGAGAGAGAGGAAGGGGAAAGAAAGAAAGAGAGAGAGAGAGAAAGGAAAGGAAGAAAGAAAGAGAAAGAGAAAGGAAGGAAGGAAGAAAAAGAAAGAAAAGGAAGGAAGGAAAGAGGAAGGAAGGGAAGGGAGAAAGGAAAAGAAAGAGAGAAAGGAATGGAAGGTGAAGGGGAAAATAATTCTACACGTAACATTTTACGTAATGTTTGAACAAGCTGATGTTAGTTCTCCATGAACTGAGAAATTGAATGAACTTAAATCTGTGACTACAAAGTCTTTAAAAGTAAATAGATTTTTCCTAAAACTTTGTTGGGATAAGCTATTTGGTTTTTGTTGTTGTTTTTAAAATCTTCATCCTTCCTCTTTTTTTAAATTTTCTTTCTCCTCTTTCTGACTGATACAGGGTTGCTGGCTCCTCTCCAGGTCTCTGCAAACTCAGAGGGCAAGGACGGCATTCGGGTGACTTGGCAGCCTCCCAGAAAAGCTCCTTCTGCTGTTCAGGAGTACGTGGTGGAATGGAGAGAGCTCCATCCAACGGGCGACACACAGGTCCCTCTGAACTGGCTGCGGAGTGCCCCCTACAATGTGTCTGCTCTGATTTCAGGTACCTAATTGTTCATCTTCCTTCTGGAGCGTTACGAAGTTCACATTTGTTTGGGGAAACTGCAGGCAAGAGCCAGAACCCTGCCTTCAATTACAGGTGGCTACATAATAGGAGAGACTGATGACCTAGAGTCTATCCAGCGGCACTTTAGAATCCTCCACTGCAGACATAAATGACCAAGTGGTTAACTAAAAACTCGATTATTTACGAAAAATTCATATCCCTAGCACAGTGCCAAAGAAGATGAATGAATAATTTAACCAAACAAGTATGGCTGAGAGCTAAGTTAACTGACCAGTGTAATAGACACCTTTATTTTGGGGAATTCATTTATTTAATAACTCTCAAAGCAATCATGTTCAGTAAGAGTCAGTATGGGCTGGGCGTGGTGGCTCACACCTGTAATCCCAGCACTTTAGGAGTCTGAGGCAGGTGGATCATGAGGTCAAGAGATTGAGACCATCCTGGCCAACATGGAGAAACCCTGTCTCTATTAAAAATATAAAAATTAGCTGGGCGTGGTGACACATGCCTGTAATGCCAGCTACTCGGGAGGCTGAAGCAGAAGAATCACTTGAACCCGGGAGGCTGAGGTTGCAGTGAGCTAAGATTGTGCCACTTCACTCCAACCTGGTGACAGAGAGAGACTCAATCTTAAAATTAAAAAAAATAAAAAAAAAAATAAGAGTCTGTATGGCCATAATGAAGAAACCAGGAAATCTTTCATTACCAATTCTGCTACTTATTAATTGTGTAATAATAAATCTAGAATTATCTATATGACAATTGGTATTTCTAACCTCAGTTTCCTAATCTGTCAGTGGTTAGAATCAAGTGGCTAGAATCAAGTGAGAGAACCCATCTGAGAATATATTAAAATGACTGGACAGAACTTAGTTAATGTCATTGTTAAGCATAAATTCAGCACTGAATTGAATCAGTGGTTTAAAGTTTTGGCTCTGCAGCCATACTACCTGGGTTTGAGTCTTGGCTCTGTGCGATCTAGGGCAAGTTACTTAACCCCTTTGTGCCTCAATTTCCTCATCTGAAAAATGGGGATAATAATATTACCTACCACATTGGGTTATTATGAAGACTAACTGAATTACTTCAAGAAAAACATTTTGAACAGTGCCTAATACATTTTAAGGGGTCGGTAATTTAGCTACCATCATCATCATTATTATTTCATAAGACAGAGCTAATATTTTAAGGTTTTCAAGCTCTAAATCCTAGAATGTTTCCATCACACCCTAACAATCATTACACCTGTCTAGGAGGATATACACACCCTGCTTAAGGTGATAAGACTTACACAAATGAAGTAAACAGCACACTGCATGATAATACATGAGTCCATCCTTAACTGTGTACCCCTTTTATATTCTGGCTGCTCAGACTTCTAGCAGGTTCATTTGTAATCACTACCCTTAAAAAAAAAAATGCTGCCCAGATAACCTAGTAAGCATCCAGAGGAAGATGGGCAGGTTATTAGGAGCCTGGAACTTTGAATCTGGAAACCATTTAATCTAGAAAAGAGAATTCTAGATGGGCATGGGAATGGGATGGCTGATGGCTATTGCCGGCTTTGACATTACACACAAGAGAGTATGTTTCCTTTGTTGCTCTGGAGAGAAAAATTAAAGCGCTGTGTGGAAATTATAAAAGAAGGAGCTGGCCGGGCGCGGTGGCTCAAGCCTGTAATCCCAGCACTTTGGGAGGCCAAGGCGGGTGGATCACGAGGTCAAGAGATCGAGACCATCCTGGTCAACATGGTGAAACCCCGTCTCTACTAAAAATACAAAAAATTAGCTGGGCATGGTGGCGTGTGCCTGTAATCCCAGCTACTCAGGAGGCTGAGGCAGGAGAATTGCCTGAACCCAGGAGGCGGAGGTTGCGGTGAGCCGAGATCATGCCATTGCACTCCAGCCTGGGTAACAAGAGCGAAACTCCGTCTTAAAAAATAAAAATAAAAATAAAAATAAAAATAAAAGAAGGAGCTATCAGCTCAATTTTGAAAGAGAACTTTCCCGCCTTTGATGGTCTCTAATGGGACAGTCGGTTACCTCTCAAGGCAGTGTGTTCCCTGTCGCTAGAGTTTTTGCAGTAGAACCAGTTTTCTTTAGGGCTGTTGTGCCCACCAAATCAGGTGAAATAGTGAATAGAAAAGCATTTACCAAACTTTAAGCTGATATGAAATTGTAAACATTATTATAAGCTGTATCAGGACTTACTCCTGTGGGATAGTTTGAATTATAGGGCAAGAGAGATGTTTTCCCTACTTAGTACGTATCTTTATACACTTTAGTTGTAATATTCATTGAATAAAATCAATATACTAGGCTGGGTGCGGTGGCTCCTGCCTGTAATCTCAGCACTTTGGGAAGCCAAGGCAGGCCAATCACTTGAGGCCAGGAGTCCAATACCAGCCTGACCAACATGGTGAAACCCTGTCTCTACTAAAACTACAACAATTAGCCAGGCGTGGTGGTGCACACCTATAATCCCAGCTACTCAGGAGGCTGAGGCAGGCGAATCACTGGAGCTCAGGAGGTGGAGGTTGCAGTAAGCTGAGATTGTGCCACTGTACTCTAGCCTTGGTGACAGAATGAAACTCCATCTTCAAAAAAGAAAAAAAAGAAGTTAATGTACTAATGAATAAAATAACTGTAAAGTTGTTCTCCTGCTTGGAAACACTTGGTTAGCTGTTAGTTTATGTTGATGTTACAGTCTGGAATAAACACTTAAAAATTAAGCAATTCATGTTTATCATGAATTCAAAATAGCCCCCTCTAGTCAGTAAGATCACTCCTCATTACTGATTTTCACCAGCCTCGGGTAGATGTGGGCATTTTGGAGTGGGCCAGAATACAGCCTGGCTCCTGGTTGATAGGTTGGTTTATAGACTAGTTCTGCCCTGTCTGGATGAAAATTCTTCTGACCATATACAGCCACTCCTTTTACAAATGCATAACATCACAGTGTCTACAAAACCTTCCCTGATGCCTAGAGTTGTTGGGCACCCTCTTCCTCCCTCTTCTTCCCCGTTACTGGTCATTTAATGTTTTGCCTTCTCCTACACTTAAGAGGTGAAATTAGCTTTCTGCAGAAAGACCACTTAAGCGATGGTTTATAAACATGGGGACAGGGACTTTGCTGAAGGGTACTAGGTACATATGTATGTATGGGAATGGTGGGAAATGAGCCTAGAAATTGGGGTCAGACTCTAGAAAGGAAATAAAAGCCTTAGGAGCATGGGCATCATCCACTGAAGGTTTTAAGGTGGGGAGCAGATATTGTTAGAGAGTGTTCATATGAGAATCAGCCAGTCAAACAGGAGTTCTTGAGGCCAGAACTAAGCAACAAGCTTGCTAGGAAGGCTCTACTCCCGGTGGAAAGGAAAATGTCCGCTGAGTTACGGGCCACATTGTCTTCTCTCCTCCATTAAAGGTGAGCCATTCACAAGAAGAAAACACAGCTTCTAATGCAGCACTCGCCAAGGCCTCTGCCCTGAACTCACATTTTTTTTTTTTTTTTTTTTTTTTTTTTTGAGACGGAGTTTCGCTCTTGTTACCCAGGCTGGAGTGCAATGGCACCATCTTGGCTCACCGCAACCTCCGCCTCCTGGGTTCAGGCAATTCTCCTGCCTCAGCCTCCCGAGCAGCTGGGATTACAGGCACACGCCACCATGCCCAGCTGATTTTTTGTATTTTTAGTAGAGACGGGGTTTCACCATGTCGACCAGGATGGTCTCGAACTCTCGACCTCGTGATCCACCCGCCTCGGCCTCCCAAAGTGCTGGGATTACAGGCTTGAGCCACCGTGCCCGGCCCTGAACTCACATTTTGCATGGCAAAACACCATGGAACTGTCTACCTAGTGGGCTCATCTGGAACTCCCATGCCTCCACAAGGCAGTGGTTGGTTGACCCCTTTCACCACTAGGGGCAGAACAGCGAGGCACTGGGGGCTGAAAGCTACTCACAGGCTCCTGTCGCATGAAAGATGATTTCATACTCTGTGTTGCCCTTTGGGCTTCTCGGTGTCAGTGCCACCCATGAGGAATCTTTGGATGACCGTACTAAGCAGACTGTGTCCTCTCCTCCACTTCACTTGGTTCATGAACTCGAACTGGGATTTACCCCTGGCATGTGCTTCGATCTTGTCATGGTCTCTTCTGACAGCACAACTGAGCTTCATGTGCTGTCTATTTGCTCGGATATTTAACAGGCCATGGATCTTCATATATAATACACATAGTTTAATAAATTATTCTATGATACAAAATTATTTCTTCCTGGAAAAAAAAAACGTTAAACCCTAATAAATCGTCAATGTAGAGGACACTGGCTACCTATCAGCAGGGCATTCATCAATACTGGAGAGGGTGCTTACTTTAACTCCCTGATACTATAGTTACCTAGCAGGAGTTATTTCTCTTTTTCCTTTAAATGTTCATTTGCAATGTAAAAGTACATCATGAGAGGTATCTATGAAAGGGGCCTTTTATTCACAAGCAGTAGAAATATGAGCTTCATGAAAATAAGGAATTTCGGCGGGGAAGAAAGACTTGCCAATAGATGAAGAAAAGCTTGCTGCCTGACAGACAGGTAATTGCAAGTGGTGCTTGAAAAGCCAGGAAGGTGCATTAACATTCCCAAGTACCTTTTAAATCTTCCAGGCTGTGAAGCAACTGAAATCTAACTGGAATATAGAGGGAGAGGAAGTAGAGTAACAAAGGGTCGGACTGCACCCAGAGCGCCCTGGTTAGTCATGCCTGAGTGTGTCTTCTGCCCTGTCAGATCTTGATAAGCATCACGGAATTAGAAAAGCCATTCAGGTTCTATGCCTGCAAAATTCCAGCCTCACTTTCCTGTAAAAAGCAAATGCTTTATTTGCAGAAATCAAATTTCTTTTTTCTTGAGGGCAAGTTGTTTTGTTTGTTTAAAAAGCAGTCTGAGTGCATGTGTGTGTGTGTGTGGTTATATTTAAATCCGTGTTGGAACTCAAATAGCTTTTGTCTCCTTCTTATTCACGGTGACCCCGTTTGTTTATATGGAAAGAAACTCAGGTTCATTGGTTGGTTGGCTGATCTCGTCCTTTGAAGTTGGGAGCGGTGACTTCCAGAAGCCAACGTCATGGCAAATCAGATGCTGAGAATTTGTAACATAGGTCATCAATCCAGACTGTGCTTGAACCATCTTTAAACTAGGAAAAGACAAGAAACGCGTTGAAGGCATTTGTATCAGATATTAAAATGGCTCCCTTTCGCTAAAGGCAATGGCTTCCTTTCACCGGTAATGGCGCAGCTGTAATAGGAACTCCCTTTTCCTTGCAGAGAATGTAAAACCCTACGTCTGTTATGAAATCCATGTGTATGCACTCTCAGGGTATCAAGGAGGATGCAGTTCCACCCTGGGTAACTCTAAGCACGAAGGTGAGTCTTGGGACCTTTTGCCAAATTTTGCTTTAGTTTAATGATTTGGATTTGTAGGGTGACAGAAGCTTCCTGTGCCCTACTTTACAGCACCACTGAGTGGCCCCCACATTAATGCCATCACAGAGGAAAAGGGGAGCGTTTTAATTTCATGGAACAGCATTCCAGTCCAGGAACAAATGGGCTGCCTCCTCCAATACAGGATATATTGGAAGGAACGGGACTCCAACTCCCAGCCGCAGTTCTGTGGTATGTGTGAGAACCAAATGCAGTGGGTGGGACCTTCTTGTTTGGATGTCAGGAAAACACAAGGAGGTGTGCATGTATATCTACATAGAAGTACTAGTGTCATGCCTGGCACATAGGAAGTACTCCAGGAATACTTGTGAAGTTAGCTGAGTGAAGAATTAGAAAAGACATCTAAACACACACACAGAAAGTTATTGAATATGTGTTATATGCCAAGCAAATTGCTAAGGATAGAGAAATGAAGTAAATGGGCTAGCTCTCAAGGTGCTTACTCAGATGGAGAGACAGCATTTCAATAAATAATAGTGGCATTTCAATACTGGATAGACTTCTTTGTTTTTTTCGACAGTGCCTCACTCTGTAGCCTAGGCTGAGTGCAGTGGTGCAATCACAGCTCACTGCAGCCTCAACCTCCCTAGGTTCGAGCAATCCTCCTGCCTCTGCCTCCAGAGTAGTGGGAACTGCAGGTGCACGCCACCATGTCCAGCTAATTTTTACATTTTTTTTTCGTAGAGACAGGGTCTCCCTGTGTTGTTCAGGCTGGTCTCCAACTCCTGGGCTCAGGCGATCTGCCTACCTCGGCCTCCCAAAGTGCTGGGATTACAGGTGTGGGCCGCAGCGCCCCACCAATCCTGTACAGACCTTAAGGTTCACAAGAAATGCATTTGGAGAACTTTTAAATACCCACATTTGCAATTACTGTTACAGCATATTATTTTCTTCTTAAAATGGAAAAAAATATGATATAGATTAAGTAACCCTTTATAGCCCAAAATGATTCTGTAAGTATAAAACTAAAGCAATTAGAGTCAAGTCTAGCTGAGTGCTGTCTGAAATGATGTCATTGGTCACTCATCCACATACAGCTCCGAGTCACTTGCCATGCTCAGAGTTTTTGTTTTTCTGGATTTGACCTTCTCTTTATTTTGTAAGCAGCTCGCTTTCAGGAGCATTTATCATAATGAAGAAACATTTGTATTTCTTTATGAGAGTTAGTAGATCCGAGAAGCATGCAACAAATCCACCCTGAAATGCAGCTGCCAGAGAGCTGCCTGCAAGGTGATTTCCACCGGGGAAGCTTTAGGAGCTGGTCTTCTCTCTTGACCTGAAGAGGTCCACAGTGTGACATTAAAAGCTGGTTAATTTTTATTATATAAATAATACTTGCACATGGCAAAAACAGTAAAGTAGTTCGGAAAGACATAAAAAGAAAATTCGTCTTCCCTTCACACTTAGGCTGTTAACAGTCCCTTGTGTATTCTTCCAGAACAAAAAAAAAATTAATGCATATACAAGAATATATAGTTGAGATCTTTTTTAATATTCTGATCTTCACCTTGCTTTTATGTCTCAATAATTCATGCTGGAGACCCTTTTACATCCATCCATGTGAACTTACATCATTCTTTTCTATTGGCTCTGTAGTATGCCATCATAAGGCCTTACGGTTGTTTGTTGAACAAATCCACCGTTGATAAACTGAACATATCACTGATCAGAACTGCTTCCCCCTGGACTTGTCAGGGTAAGTCAGTTCTGAAGTACACCCCAAGAGGTGAGGAATCAATTGACCTCTTCTTGAGCCATCTGGAATTTCTCATGTGAAATTTGTCCTCCAAATAATTTTCATTTTGGCAGAGTTTAAATTGAGATACCTGTTTACAACCACAAAGATCAACATGGTCTGTATGGTCTGTTGATTTTTTTTTTTTTTTTTTTTTTTTTTTTTTTTTTTTTGAGACGCAGTCTTGCTCTGTCACCTAGGCTGGAGTACAATGGCATGATTTTGGCTCCCTGCAACTTCCGCCTCCCTGGTTCAAGTGATTCTCCTGCCTCAGCCTTCTGAGTGGCTGGGATTACAGGCATGTGCCACCATGCCCTGCTAATTTTGTGTGAGCCATCGAGCCTAGCCTCTTTTTTTTTTTTTTAACAGTAAACCATTTAACTTAATAGTCAAAGTCTCTTGAGTCTGTTGATTTTTTTTTTTTTTGAGACAGTTTTACTCTGTCACCTAGGCTGGAGTCCAGTGGCACGACCACAGCTCACTGCAACTCTCCTGGGTTCAAGTGATTCTTCTACTACAGCCTCCTGGGTATCTTGGACTACAGGCACCCACCACCATGCTCGGCTAATTTTTTTTTTTTATTTTTAGTAGAGACGGGGTTTCACCATATTGGCCAGGCTGGTCTTGAACTCCTGACCTCGTGACCCGCCTGCCTCGGCCTCCTGTAGTGCTGGGATTACAGATGTGAAACACGCGCCTGGCGAGTCTGTTGAATCTTAAAGCTGCTCTTGTGGATGTTGAAGAAATGCCTTCCTTATTTTGTCATAAATCTGATGACTCTAAAGCCTGCATAGGGTATTTAAAAATAAGCTAAAAGGAGAGGGAGAGTACAGATTCACAGTCCTATTTTATACTAGTTTAGGTTAAATTTCCATTTAATTCAGTAAGCATCTGTTGATGGATAACCCGTATTCCCTATCTTTGACAAGCTCACAGTCTATGAGGGAGATAGAAAAGTACACAAAAGGAGGCTGGGCACGGTGGTTCACACGTGTAATCACAACACTTTGGGAGGCCGAGGTGGGCAGATCATTTGAGCCCAATAGGTCAAGACCAGCCTGGGCAACATGGTGAAACCCCGCCTCTACAAGAAAAAATTTTTTTGATTAGCAAGGCGTGGTGGTGTGCACCTGCAGTCCCAGCTACTCAGGAGGCTGAGGTGGGAGGATCACTGAGCCAAGAGGCAGAGGTCCCTGTAAGCTGAAATCCCACCATTGCACTCCAGCCTGGGTGACACAGCTAGACTCTGACTCAAAAAATTAAAAAAAAAGGGGGAGAGGGGGAAGAAAAGTACACAAAAGGGATTAACATCATAATCAAGGGCTGACAACTACCTATTGCATTTGGCAACCAGAAATCAATGGTGAATTCACAAGAGCACTTTCTAGAGAGCGGTAGGAGGTGGTAGGTTGAGGAGGGAAAATCACTTCACAGTAGCAAAGCGGGAGGGTGTTCTGTTTTGATGGCCCCATCTTACTGCTGTCTCAGCACCACTGACCAGGTAGCAGTATTAAAGGCACATGTGGAGCACAGTAGGGAAAAAAAAATGAAGGGCCTGCCTGGGCAGAAGAGGTAAGGTGTAGAGCCAGGGAGGGGCGTGGGTATCTGCACTGTAGTGAGTCACATGGGTGGTTCTGTGCACAGCCACTCCTCTGGACGCTTGTCCATATTGCTGTGTGCACCAGTAGAGCCATGGTCAGAACACTGTTCTACTGGAGAACACATTATTAGACTTTGCTGCTACCTAGTAGTCTTTCCAACAGTCTCTAAGCATCTTAAGGGAAGAAGCCACGATAATTTCCTCACCGTTGTCTCCTCATACCTAGAATACAGCCAGACACATGGTAGGTGCTTCATAAAAACAAGCAGCTGAATACCACTCTACCCTTTGTTAAATCCAATGGAGACTGTTAGATAAAAATTTGTTTCCAATAGCAGTGAGGCTGTTTTGCCTAGTACCGCTTGACCTTCCTATCGACAGTCTTTCCAATGACTGGCAACTATCACATCTTTCTACACTGGTGCCTTTATCATTGAACCACCTTGAGTCTAAGTTTTCAGACTGCCAAGGATTGAATGGCCCCTTTTATCTGTGCCAGAGATCACAGCCCAGAGGGAGCAGGACCAGTATTTCGTGCTTTACTTCTTGACTTCTTTCTCCTGTTACACAACTCAGCCTATTTTGGCAACCAAACTGCTGACATCATCATCCTCCTCACTGCCTCTTCCCCCACAGAGCTTCTATTTTTGTTCTTCTACTATGTGTGCATATGCATGTATATAAACTTTATTGGCCCAGCAACCCATACAAATCCCTTCCCTTCTGTTCCAATGTCTCATTTCACTCCTGGAGTTAAGGATGCCCTCACACAGTTGGACAATTGATTCCCTGACGCTTGCTGGTTTTGTTGCAGCAAGAGGAACAGAAGGTCTCTCTAAAATTAATTTTTTAATCCCCTGCTTTAGGACTAGAGAAAGGGCTTTTTGAGCTCAGTCATATAGCTTAAGACTATGCAAGCAATTTCACCAGCCTAGAGTATACTTGAGAAATTTCCACAGGGACTTTTCTCAACAGAATGTAAAATACAGAAACTGCTCTGAGAGTCATGGTGAATAAATTATCTGCATGGGCCTCAAGCCCTCTGGGTGGAGTAGAGGTAATATGATAGGACTTCATCTTGCTGATTACCCATAGTAAGCAGGGATGGCATAATAGAAGGGGTCTTTTCCCCGTTAGATAGTGGACTCTTTGAGGCAGAGTCTATGCTTTTTGTATTGTCCGTGCCTTGTCCAGTGTAGGCACTCATATTTATGACTGTTGAAATAACTTCAGCATGCAAGACATCCCTGACTTGCCCTGCAGTTTGTGAGCCAGTATATGTTGAGTATATGATGCTGAGTTCTAGTTTTCCCTTTCACCAGCATAGATGAGGTCATCTCAATGAGCTAGGAGGTATAAAAGGAAAATAAAATCTCAAGACCCCCAACTCACTATGCGAAAAGGAAAGATAAGCTGGGGAACTGAGTCACGCAAAAACTTCCTTTCTTTTGTTACCAGATAGCTGTAACTTCACATGCTTACTTTACGTCAAATGTAGATGTACTGAGCTCCAGAGGAAAGCATAATTGACCATTTCTCTACCCCTCCTTTCACATGTAAAATGTAGATTCACTGAGTGCTAATAAAAGCCTCACAAGACCACCTGCTTCACTGCCTATCTTCCCCACCCCATGCCCATTTTTTCCTTTCCACTTTCCCCTGTCTTTCCTTTTTAAATATTGAAGTCCTCAGCACAAGTCACAGATCCAACTGTAATTTGGGTTTCTTTTCAATCTCAACCTCAACTTTGGCAAAATGAATCTCAAAACCAGTTGAAACTTGGCAGGGTGCAGTGGCTCATGCCTATAATCCTAGCACTTTGGGAGGCCGAGGCAGGTGAATCACCTGAGGTCAGGAGTTCAAGACCACCCTGGCCAACATGGTGAAACCCTGTCTCTACAAAAAGACAAAAATCAGCCGGGTATGTTGGCAGGTACCTGTATTCCCAGCTACTTAGGAGGCTGCTGCAATAGGATCTCTTGAAGCCAGGAAGCGGAGGTTGCAGTCAGCCGAGATCGTGCCACTGCACTCCAGTCTGGGCGACAGAGTGAGACTCTGTCTCAAAAAAATAAAAAAATAGAAACTTGTCTCAGTTATTTATTTTTTTCTAGTGGACACAGGCTACTTCTGCCAAAGTGCTGGCCTTGACTCTGCCATCTGCCCCAGGTTTTGAAAGGTCACTCCAAAATCCACACCCAGCACGTCACTGGAAAAGTTTGCCTGTTTACTAAAGACTACCTATATTCATGTTTCTTAGATTTAAAAAATAGCATCAGTGCATTACTCAAAATACAAAATCTTCCCTACAGAGAAAACTACAGGGGTATTGAGAACATAAAGAACTGGTAATCTAGGTTTACAGTTGCCAAATAAATCAAATATAAGTAGCATTGCTCTAGCTTTTAATGATTTTATGTCAGATTGAAGAAGATCCTCATATTATCCCCTATAAGCTCAGGGCCTAGAGCTTACAAATGGAAAAGTTCAAAATCAGAGTTTAAAAATGTTAAGTGAATGTCTGTTTCATTAATTGCTAAACTTTCCTTTCTTAAAAATTCCATAGGCTGGGTGTGGTGGCTCATGCCTGTAATCCCAGCACATTAGGAGGCCAAGGTGGGCGGATCACTTGAGGCCAGGAGTTGGAGACCAGCCTGGCCTCCAGCAGGCGAAACCCCATGGGTTTCGGCCAGCATGGCGAAACCCCATCTCCACTAAAAATACAAAAATTAGCCAGGCATGGTGGCACACACCTGTAGTCCCAGCTACCTGGGAGACTGAGGCAGGAGAATTGCTTGAACCCAGGAGGCAGAGGTTGCAGTGAACAGAGATCAGGTCACTGCACTCCAGCCTGGGCGACAGCACAAGACTCCATTTCAAAAAAATACAAAATACAAACTTCTATAACCAACCAGAGGCAGTGGCTCATGCCTGTAATCCCAGCATTTTGGGAAACTGAGGCAGGCAGATCATTGAGGCCAGGAGTTCAAGACCAGCCTAGGCAACATGGTGAAACCCCATTGCTACTAAAAATACAAAAATTAGCTGAGCATGGTGGCACATGCCAGTAGTCCCAGCTACTTGGGAAGCTGAGGCAGGAGAATTGCTTGAACCCAGAAAGCAGAGGTTGCAGTGAGCCAAGATCGTATCGGTGCACTCTAGCCTGAGCGACAGACAAGACCCTGTCAAAAGAAAAAACAAAAAGTTCCATGGCCTCAAAAACGATTTGTACATTTAACTTTTCTCCTCCAGAATTCCCAAATAAGCCTGATAAATACTAGAAATCTTATCATCATTGGAAATAAAGGGAGGGAATTAGCTATAGCTAAATAATTTTAAAAGCAAAACAACAAAAAATGTATTCAAAAGATTTTACCACAAAACACACACAAAAAAGAAAAAACAAAGTAAAAAAAAGATTTTGCCACCAAAAAATAATTTGTTATGCTGTGGAGTGAGAGGTCCATAAATGACAATGTCGAGGGCCTATTAAAGTATTAAGTACTTGGGAATTTGGACTACAGTATTTTAAAATAGCAAAATGATTTTTCCTTCTAAATTAAATGAAGCATTAAAGAATAAAAATGAGTAAAAGCCTATATTAAAAGTCATATCCTTTAATATGTGCCTTTCTTCCTTTATCTTTATCTTCTTTTCAGAAATTCCCTATAGAGTTTCCCAAAATTCACATCCAATAAACAGCCTGCAGCCCCAAGTGACGTATGTCCTGTGGATGACAGCTCTGACAGCTGCTGGCGAAAGTTCCCAAGGAAATGAGAGGGAAATTTGTTTGCAAGGTGAGAGGCAATGTTAAAGATGGCGAGTCCACCATGGATTCTTGCACAGGCATGCACTCCCACTACACTTGGCATAGAGATGATCAGATTTTCTTTAATTCACTAATAACTTTCTTGCTGTCACTTTGTACTTGCTGTTGCTTCTAAATAGAATGTTTTACCACTCTACTATCTTCTTCTTGGAGACAGTGTCTATTCAGGTTTCAAAATTCACCAGAAATGCTTTCTCGTTCAGGAAGCCTTCCCAAATGCTTCTCCATAATGCACTTACATTTAACTCCTACTCAAAACTCTGAATCCAGTAGGCAGGGACTGATATCTGTTTATCTCTGTCTTTAAGGCCTAGCCTGGTGCCCAGCAGATAGTACTTTCTCACTAAGTATCTGTTCCATGAATGACGAGAGTCACATCAACAATAATAATAGCGGCTATTGCATATGCAACAGTCATTCTGTTAAGTGCTTGGCATACTACATTAATTTGCTGGGGCTGCTGTAATGCAGCACCATAAACTGTGTGGCCTAATCAACAGAAATCTATTGTGTCATAGTTCTAGAGGCTGGAAGTCCAAGACCAAAGTGTCAGCAGGGATGGTTCCTTCGGAGCGCTATGAGAGAGAATCTGCTTCCAGCAGTTTGCAGGCAGTCATTGATATTACTTGCTTGTAGGTCTCTGCTTTCATCTGGCATTCTCCATGTGTCCAGATTTTCTTCTTCTTCTAAGGACACCAGTCATATTGGATTAGGGGCCCACTCTACTCCAGTATGACCTCATCTTAACGAATTATATCTACAACGACCCTATTTTCAAATGAGGTCACATTATGAGGCTGGGGGTTTAGGGCTTCGACATATAAATTTGAGGATCACACAGTTCAACCTCTAACATGTACTTTTGCTAATTTTTCCTTACCAAAATTACATGGTTACACCTATCCCATCCTACCAGACACTATGAAATGAATGAAAAAATGAAGACGGAGTTTTCATTTTTGAGACGGAGTTTCGCTCTTGTTACCCAGGCTGGAGTGCAATGGCGCGATCTCAGCTCACCGCAACCTCCGCCTCCTGGGTTCAGGCAATTCTCCTGCCTCAGCCTCCTGAGTAGCTGGGATTACAGGCACGCGCCACCATGCCCAGCTAATTTTTCGTATTTTTAGAGAGACGGGGTTTCACCATGTTGACCAGGTTGGTCTTATCATTTCTTTTTTAAAGTGAGGTGACTAAGGTACAGAGAGATTACTCAAGGTCATGGAAGTGGTAAGTGGCAGAACTACAAATTAAACTCAGATTTTACTTGCTTAAATTAAGTTAAATTTGAGTCTGTTGAATAAGTGACCCAGCTAGCATGGGCTTCCCTCCACCAGCTAAGTTACACTGTTCTCTCTAGCAATGCTCATTTGCATCTGCTCTAAGCATAAAACAAGCTGTTCTTGCTTTGTGACATGAAGCATCAAGTTAATCATTCAAGAGACTTTGTTGTTCTATGCCAGGAAACTCTCCATTGGGAAACTGACAAGACTTCTCATCTCTCCAGCACTCCCATGAAAGATAACTTGCTCGATTAATGTAGATTAAGGACGCAGACAAAAATTAGCCCGAGTGGTGGTGCACACCTGTAACCCCAACTACTCAGGAGGTTGAGGCAGGAGAATCACTTGAATCCAGGAGGCAGAGGTTGCAGGGAGCTGAGATCACACCACTGCACTCCAGCCTGGGTGACAGAGAGAGGCTTTGTCTCAAAAAGAAAAAAAGAAAAAGGACTTAGCATCCTTCTACTGGTCCTACTCCAAACTTGTTCCATCTGCCCAGAAAGGAAAGCAGATGCTGAAGAAACGTGAGATTTGGCCAAGTGCTGTGGCTCACCCTATAATCGCAGCAATTTGGGAGACCGAAGTGGGAGGATTGATTGAGCACAGGCATTCAACACCAGCCTGGACAACATAGCAAGACCCCATCTCGATTAAAAAGAAAGAAAGAAAGGCCAGATCCTCCTGATTGTATGGGGTGGAAAAAAGGATGCCTCCATTAACTTCTCTATTCAGCCCTTTGATACTTCTCATGGGCCCAAGTCTCTCTGGCCTCTAGCTCCTCCTGCTCACTCTCCCTCCCAACCTGTTTTTCATTCAATAAGAAGAGTCTGCAAGACTCCAGATGCTGGCATTACTTCTCTTGTTATAACTCTTCAGTGGTTCCCCAAGGGCCTTCAAGCTTGAACTCAAACTCCGTATTTGCCAGGTCCACATGGTCCTGTTTACTCATCTAGTTTGATCCTTTGCCACACACTTCAGCATTTATTACAGAGGAAGACCAGACTTCCTGCAGTTTCCTGAAAGCACTGGCTGTTCCCTCCTTCCATGCCTTTGCATAGTTCTTTTTATCTGGGCTGTTCTTATCCTATTTAGATAGGAGGGATCTAAATAGGATAAGAACAGCCCAGATAAAAAGAACTAAATGGATAAAAATTCTCTTATCCATTTAGCTGACTCCTATTCATCCTCCAACTCTACTTTTTTTTTTTTTTTTCCGAGATGGTCTTACTCTGTTGCCTAGGCTAGAATATAGTGGCATGATCATAGCTCACTGCATCCTTGAAATCCTGGGCTAGGCCAGGTGCAGAGGCTCATGCCTGTAATCCCAGTACTTTCAGAGGCTGAGGCAGGTGGATCCCAAGGTCAAGAGTTTGAGAACAGCTTGACTAACATGGTGAAACCCTGTCTCTACTAAAAATACAAAACAAATTAGCCAGGTATGGTGGCACATGCCTATAATCCCAGCTACTCAGAAGGCTGAGATATGAGAATCACTTGAAACTGGGGAGCGGAGGTTGCAGTGAGCTAAGATGGCACCACTGCACTCCAGCCTGGGTGAAAGAGCGAGACTCTGTCTCAAAAAAAAAAAAAAAAAAAAAATCCTGGGCTCAAGTGATCCCCGTGCCTCAGCCTCACAAGTAGTTGAGACTATAGGTTCATGCCACCATGCCCAGCTCATCATCTCTAAACTTTTGACATTGTGCCTTTTGCAAAACCTTCCTCCACTACTTGTGAGCCAGTTTTCCATACTGTTCTCTGCTACACTGCTGTGGACATTGCACACACACTTGTTTTCATATATATCCCATGTGAATTAGTCCATTCTCACACTGCTATAACAACATACCCAAGACTGGATAATTTATAGAGGAAAGAGGTTTAATTGACTCACAATTCCACAGGGCTGGGGAAGCCTCAGGAAACTTAGAATCACGGCAGAAGGGAAAGCAAACACGTCCTTCTTTACAAGGTGGCAGGAAAGAGAAGAATGAAAGCCAAGTGGGGGAAAGGCCTCTTATAAAACCATCAGATTCTCGTGAGACTTCACTCACTATCATGAGAACAGCATGGAGGTAACTGCCCCCATGATTGAATTACCTCCCAGTGGGTCCCTCCCACCACATATAGGTATCATGAGAACTACAACTCAAGATGAGATTTGGGTTGGGATACAGCCAAACCGTATCATTTCACCCCTGACAGCTCCCAAATCTCATGCCCTCACATTTCAAAACACAATCATGCCTTTCCAACAGTCCCCAAAGTCTTAGCTCATGCCAGTAACAGCCCAAAAGTTCAAGTCCAAAATCTCATCTGAAACAAGTCCCTTCCACCTATGAGCCTGTAAAATCAAAAACAATCTAGTTACTTCCTAGATACAAAGTGGGTACAGGCATTGGGTAAATACACTCTTTCCAAATGGGAGAAATTGGCCAAAACAAAGGGGCTACAGGCCCCATGGAAGTCCAAAATCCAATAGAGATTTCATTAAGCATTAAATCTCCAAAATGATCTCCTTCCTAGACCCACTTATGCCTAGTGTTCCATTATTGGAACACTAAGCATGTGGGAGTTATTTATATCCTGCTGCTCAAGATCATCACCAAGGTCTGATTTTTTCACTCATGCAAAAATTCAAAAAATTGCAACCTCAGGCATAAATGGGTTAATTTGATGTCTCACATCAGATCATGCTGATGCAAGAGGTGGGCTTCCACATCCTTGGGCAGCTCCACCCCTGTGGCTTTGCAGGGTGTAGCCCCCTCCTAACTGCCTTCATGGCTTGCATTTCCATGTGCATGGTGCAAGCTGTCAGTGGATCTACCATCCTAGGGTCTGGAGGATGGTGGCCCTCTTTTCACAGCTCTACTAGTGAAAAGGGACTCTGTGTAGGGGCTTGCACCCCACGTTTCTCTTCCACACTGCCCTAGTAGAGGTTCTCCATGAGGGCTCTGCCTCTAGAGCAAACTTCTGCCTGGGCATCCAGGCACTTCCATAATTCCTCTGAAATTTAGGTGAAGTTCTCCAAACCTCAACTCTTGACCCCTGTGCATCCACAGGCCCAACACCACATGGAAGCTGTCAAGGCCCAGGGCTTGCACCCTCTGAAGCATTAGCCTGAGCTGTATGTTGGCCACTTTTAGCCAAACCTGAAGCAACTGGGATGCAGGGCACCAAGTCCCAGGGCTGTACACAGAAGGGGGGTCCTGGACCTGGCCCTGAAAACCATTTTTCTCTCCTAAGCCTCCAGGGCTGTGATGGGAGGGGCTGTCATAAAGGTCCCTAACATGCTCTGGAGACATGTTCCCATTGTCTTAGTGATTAACATTTGGCTCCTCGTTACTTATGCACATTTCTGCTGCCAGCTTGACTTTCCCCCAAGAAAATAGGGTTTTCTTTCCTATTGCATCATCAGGCTGCAAATTTTTCAAACTTTTATGCTCTGCTTCCTCTTGAATGCTTTGCTTCTTAGAAATTTCTTAGAATACCCTAAGTCATCTCTCTCAAGTTCAAAGTTCCACAGATCTCTGGGGAAGGTACAAAATACCACCAGTTTCTTTGCAAAGCAAGAGTAACCTTTACTCCAGGAAAATGTTCCTCATCTTCAACAAGTTCCTCATCTCCATCTGAGACCACTCCAGCCTGGACTTTATTGTCCATTTCACTATCAACATTTTGGTCAAAGCCATTCAACAAGTCTCTAGGACTCTCCAAACTTTCCCATATTTTCCTGTCTTCTGAGCCCTCCAAGTCTCTAGGAAATTCCAGACTTTCTCATATTTTCCTGTCTTCTTCTGAGCCCTCCAAACTGTTTCAACCTCTGCATTCACCCATTTCCAAAATTGCTTCCACATCCTCAGGTATCTTTACAGCAGTGCCCCACTCTCTATGGTACCAATCTATTTACTGTATTAAACTATCCTCATGCTGCAAAAAGGACATACCTGAGACTAGATATGTTTCCTGAGGGAGGCCTCAGGCAACTTACAATCATGGCTGAAAGGAAAGTAAACACATCCTTCTTCACAAGGCAGCAGTAAAGAGAAGAATGAGAGCAAAGCAGGGGTAAAGCCCCTTATAAAACCACCAGATTCTTGTGAGAACTCACTCATATCATGAGAACAGTAGCATGGAGTAAATGGTCCCATGATTCAGTTGCCTCCCGGCAGGTACCTCCCACCACATGTGGGGATTATGGGAACTACAATTCAAGATGAGATTTGGGTGGGGATACAGCCAAACCATATCACCATGGCATTGTGGCTTATTGTTTACATGTTCACACATCTGTGTCCTACACTATATTCATTACTTCTTTAGACAGCAGAGCTGATATCCTATTTATCTTCGTATCCTAGCACCCAACAGAGCCTGTTACATAGCTAGTACTCAGCAAGTGCTGGATGAATTAATGGACAATTCCAACAAGTAGTAAAATGCTGTAGTTCTTTTCATAGGAAGGAACAAGCACAATTTCAGATATTTCAAAAATTTCACAATCACCCTAGCTAGCTAAAGGCTTATCCCATACTTTGCTAAAATTAATAGCTACTGTTTCTTGAGGACCTCCTATCTTCGGACATACTGACATGTGCTTTAAATATACCATCTCTGATCTTCATAACAACCAGCAAGGTACATGTCACCGTTCACATTTTATAGATCAAGAAACGGAAGTCCACAGATTATACATCTGTTAGTGGCAGAGCTGGGACTAGGGCAGGGCTCCCAACTCACAACATGCTTTGCATTCTGTACCTCCTTTCTTTCTGCCCCTGTGAGTGGGAGGAGCCCTGTAGGGCCAGAGCTCCTCTTAGAATCATAGAATTGTCCCCCTTAGGGTCCCATTTCTCATACTGCATAGACAGAAATGAACTGTTCTTGTTCCTGAGTACAGCTGCCCAGGAGCTGTGGGTAAAACCCAGAGGGCTCATACACCAAACAGGATTTTGAAATGTTCACTGACAATAACTCACTCAGTCACAGGATTCCCTCACTTTTCAGGTAAAGCCAATTGGATGGCGTTTGTGGCACCAAGCATTTGCATTGCTATCATCGTGGTGGGCATTTTCTCGACACATTACTTCCGGCAAAAGTGAGTTGATTACACCTGCCAGTTTGGTAAATGAGGTTTTAAAAAAATGATAACAGCTGTTGCTGCCATGGGTCAGGAAAATGGACACTCTCACACATTCCTGGTGAAAGACTAAGCTTATTTAAGCATTTTGGGCAACAGTATGTGTCAAATCCTTAAAAATACACCTTTTAATATAATAATCTCTAACTAGAAATGTATTCTGAACATATATATATGTCATATATATGTCATATATATATTATGTCATATATATGTCATATATATATATCATATATATATATATATATCATATATATATATATATATATCATATATATATATAATGTTTTTTAGATGGAGTTTTGCTCTTGTCGCCCAGGCTGAAGTGCAATGGCGTAATCTCAGCTCACTGCAACTTCCACCTCCTTGGTTCAAGCGATTCTCCTACCTCAACCTCCCGAGCAGCTGGGATTACAGGTGCCCACCACCACGCCTGGCTAATTTTTGTATTTTTTATTAGAGGTGGGGTTTCATCATGTTGGCCAGGCTGGTCCCGAACACCTGATCTCAAGTGATCTGTCCCCCTAAGCCTCTCAAAGTGCTGGGATTACAGGTGTGAGCCACCTAGCTTATTCTAAGTATATTATAAATGTCTTCAGATATTTCATGGAAAATATGTTCATTGAAATAATTTTCAGAAAAGGAAAATATTTGAGACAATCTAAATGTCCAATGATAAGGGATTGGTTAACTAAATCCTGATATATCTTGTACTATAACATATTACACATCCATGAAATATCATGTAGAAATTAAACGGTATAAACAATATTTACTGCATTCCATTTAAAAGGCAGCCAGCCAAACAATATGTACTTTCATTTCTTAAAAATAGTGCATACACATACATGTAAATGTAAGATATCTCAATTAGCATTACATTTGGTTACATATAATATAAAAGTCAAAATAACATGACTGAGGCTGGGCACAGTGGCTCATGTTTGTAGTCTCAGCACTTTGGGAGGATGAGGCAGGCAGATCACCTCAGGTCAGGAGTTCGAGACCAGCCTGGCCAATGTGGTGAAACCCTGTCTCTACTGAAAATACAAAGATTAGCCAGCTAGGGTGGTGCACACCTGTAGTCCCAGCTACTCGGGAGGCTGAGGCATGAGAATCGCTTGAACACAGGAGGCAGAGGTGTTGTAGTGAGCTGGGACTGTGACACTGTACTCTAGCCTAAACCAGTAATAATAACAACAACAACAACAACAACAACAAACAAACAAACAAAAAACAAAAAAAACCACTGTGTTCTTTCCTTTGAGATAGAGCTGCAAGAAAAGAAAACAAAACTGTGGTCCTTCATCCAAGTGCACTGTCATCCTAATAAATCTGGGTCCTCTTCCTAAGAAGGAGGGGAAAATGAATATTGAGTGGCAGTTACTCTCTGCCCCAAGGATATAAACCACAATATTAACGGTGTTTATATCTGGGGATAGAATTGTAGGTGATTTTAGTTTTTCTTGTTTAACTATATTTTCTAAAATTTCCTTAGTAAACACATATTATGTTTCAAAGAAAAGATTTTTCATGAGTTGGTTATTCAATACAAAGTTTTCTTCAAATGCTGTGCAAAAAGAAGAGGTCATTCTACCAGCCACTGAACTTGTCTAGCAGGCTGCACATTTACTGAAGATCTAATGTGTGATAGATACTTCAAAGCAGAGCTCTCTTTAGACAGACTTTGAAAAAGTTTAACTCAAAAGGAGTCAACTAGGATCACATGCATCCTCTTCATGGAAATTGTGAAGATCAGTTACAGTGCAGGCTAAACTACCTTTAAAAACAAAAAAGAGAGAGGGCTGGGCGCGGTGGCTCACGCCTGTAATCCTAGCACTTTGGGAGGCTGAGGCGGGCAGATCACAAGGTCAGGAGATCGAGACTATTCTGGCCAGTATGGTGAAGCCCCGTTTCTACTAAAATACAAAAAATTAGCCAGGTGTGGTGGCATGTGCCTGTAGTCCTAGCTACTTGGGAGGCTGAGACAGCGGAATCACTTGAACCCAGGAGGTGGAGGTTGCAGTGAGCCGAGATTACGCCACTGAAGTCCAGCCTGGAGACAGAGCAAGACTCCACTCCATCTCAAAAAAAAAAAAAAAAAGAGAGCCAAAATGCAGTGGCTTAAAAAATACTTTATTTCTCTTCCATATGACAGTCCTGAGGTAAGATATCCAGATTGGTGGGCAGCTGCGCTCCACAGTCATTTGAGGACCCAGTTTTCTTCCATCTTTTTGGCATACCACCCCTTGGGCACTGTCCTCATCTGCATGATCTCTATGAGATCACAGACACTGCTGCTCCTATTTCTCTGGAGAAAACCTAGTCACATGGCCACATCTCTTACTTTAAAAGGTTAGACAAATTGTAAAGCACACTTAAAAAAAAAAATCAAAGCTTATTAAAGCCAAGTCTTTGAAAATGTTTCATATTGGTCTTGAACTTAAAAAAAAAAAATCTACGTCACATGCATTTATAAGAAATGTTTTTAGGATTTTTCCTTCTACATCATAAAAGATCTGTATTTCCTCTTACTGCCAAATACAACCACTGTTAACAGATATTTCACGTATTTCCCTATAATACTTTTTCTTGGCATTTTTAACATGGTTATGTTCAAGCTATTTATACCACTCTGAATCCTCTTTTTTAACTGTTTGCATAATTTACCTGTCATTACAAACTCTTTGTAAATATTCTAATTAAGTAGCAAGGGTAGGGAACATGTCATCTTCAATGCTCAGCAGGTAGCATTGTGTTGGTCACATATTAGGGGTTCAATCAATGTTTGTTGAATGAAGGCATAGCTGGATATTGATAGAGTGCTATCAGGTTGATCAAAGGTTCCATGGTTTATTTAGCAAACCCCAAGTGGCTGTGCTGTAACTTCACAGAAAACTACTGTAGCCTTGGACGATAAATCATCTTTGTCTTTCAGTGTTTACATTTTACTTATTTACATTCAGAAGCAGCCCTTACACTGAAATTACTGCACTGAGAATCTGTGCTTCCATGCCACTGTGTCACACTTAAGCAAATGTCACTGTTTTCTTTACCTATAGGGTATTTGTTCTCCTAGAGTCCCTCAGACCTCAGTGGTGTAGCAGAGAAATTCCAGATCCAGCAAACAGCACTTGTACTAAGAAATATCCCATCATGGAGGTAAGGTATAATGCCTCTGTGGTCAGTCAGTGGGGTGCTGGTGATCACCACATCTAAGTTTTCCATTGCAGTTACAAGGAAGCCCGGGTGCTGAGATCCTGTGGTTGAACTTAAATTATTCATGCTAAGCTACCACTGAGTCATCACTCTCATTTTTTTCCCTGAACTTACGAGCAACCATGCGCAGGAATCTTCTGAAGTTTATAATCGTAAGACTAAAAGCCCCCTAACTTTTTATTCCTTAGGATGCTTCACATTCACCTTCTCACCAAGCTGCTCTCCTGTTCTCCTCACCTAACTTATTTCAGAAGAAGAAAGCAAGATTTTTTTTTGTTTTTTGGCCGTTGGTTGAATACTAGTCTGAGCATTGACTCATCCAAAATTCAAGAGAATTGAAGCTTTTGATTTTCCTATCTGAGCATAGAACAGATAAATAGAACCCACACTATGCTGGTTTGGGCAGGAAGCCAGTATATCATTCCATGGTGCAAAGAAAAGGTTTTAAAGGAGAGGCGGCTCAGCTGGCAGATGAGAGAGCAGAGAGTAAAGGAAATGGAGGGAGCCGCTGTGGCCCAGGAAAGGAGGTGAGAAAGCTCACAGTGGGCAAGACGGGCCATCCCTGGTGGAGGGTCTGGAAGTTAAAAGCATCTGAATATGAAGACTACATTTTTTTTTTTTTTTTTTTTTGAGACAGAGTCTCTCTATGTCACCCAAGCTGGAGTGCAGTGGCACAATCTCAGTTCACTGCAACGTCTGCCTCCCAGGTTCAAGCAATTCTCTTGCCTCAGCCTCCCCAGTAGCTGGAATTACAGGTGCTCACCACCACACCCGGCTAATTTTTTTTTTGTATTTTTAGCATAGACAGGGTTTCACTATGTTGGCCAGGCTGGTCTTGAACCCCTGACCTTGTAATCTGCCCAAGTGCTGGGATTACAGGTGTGAGCCACCATGCCTAGCCATGAAGACTACATTTAAGGGGAGAAATAGGAGAGAGAAGTGGCAAGCCAGTATTCCTCCCATTGTCTGAGGCTTTGACGGCTCCAGGCTCCCTTTCCAAGACCTTATAACGCTTCTCGCCCAAGATGCTTCTCTTTAACTACCCAGTGTATTCTGTCACCCACACCCTTCCTCGGGCCAGAAGCCAGTGGTCCATAGTCCCAGCCTCTGCTCTAAATAAATAAATAAATAAACAAACAAACAAACAAACAAACAAACAAATAAAAGAGCGGATCCCAGTCACAGCTTCCTTAGGAATTTAAGTCACTACAGTTTAGTGCCTTTGAAATCAAGCCTGAGGAGGCCACCCCTGCCTCTGCTGCTTACTATGTGTGTGACTCCCGGGCAACTTGCCCAACCATCTGAGCCCAAGTTTCAGCCTCCTATAAAATAGGAGTTGACAATATCATTCTTACATACCACTGTGAGGATCAAATAAGATGCCATGTAAAACACACAGGACATACAAGACAAAGGTCATTCACCTTTTTCCTGGGAAGACACATAACTTAAGTCTCCTCTGAGGAATTTTGTCCCTGTCAAGTTACAACTGCAAGAATAGTGATAATAACAGCAGTTTGTGTATATATATAATACACAGGTTATATATTTATATATTTTATATATTCTATATCATATAATAATTATATATTATATATTCATTATTATAATTTAGATCTATTACCTTCTATGTACCAGGCACTTTCGAAAATATTTTTGTATGTCAACGTTTAACCCATGCAACAGCTTTATGAGGTTATATGATTATTATCATTTTTCATATGAGGAAACTGAGGCACAGAGGACTAAGTAACTTGCCCAACATTAACGAGTAAATGATGGATCCTGGACTCACAACCAAGCCAGATCACTGCATTATACATTGTAAAGGATCTTTTATCACAGGGCAAGGAGAGTGTTTCTAGCAGTCTACACCTCTGAGCTGAACGGACTTATTAGAGAAAGTAAGAAAGGAGGAAGGTGATAGAATTAGTACATGTACACCTCAAGTTGTGTAGCATAAGAATGTTTATTGCAGCATTATCAACAGAAGCAAAATCGAGCATAATGGAAAGGTCCACCAGGGGGCAGATTAAACATTTTGGGTACATTCGTACAACAGGATATTAGGCAACTGCTAAAAAAATGAGATAGATCTATATTGCCTAAAGATCTCGAAGACAGTTAAAAGTAAAAAGAGAAACATTCACAACAATTGTCTAAAGTGGGTTCATTTATATAAAAATGAGGGCGATTTTATACACACTCATACATCTGCAGCATGGGCATAGGATATTTCTGGAAGCCCACTGACACATATGAAATGGGTAAAGGGAGGGGGCTGAGAGTATGAGGGCCACTTAATTTTCATTACATAGTCCCTTTGAACTTTTAGAATATCTTTTTTTTTCTTTTTTGAGACGAAGTCTCTGTCGCCCAGGCTGAAGCGCAATGGCACAATCTCAGCTCACTGCAACCTCTGCCTCCCAGGTTCAAGCGATTCTCCTGCTTCAGCCTCCCAAGTAGCTGGGATTACAGGCACCTGTCACCATGCCTGGCTAATTTTTGTATTTTTAGTAGAGATGGGGTTTCACCATGTTGGCCAGGCTGGTCTTGAACCCCTGACCTCAAGTGATCCACCTCCCTTAGCCTCCCGAAGTGCTGGGATTACAGGCATAAGCCACCACGCTCAGCCTAGAATATCTTAAGAAAGCTATGTACATATAATTTTTTTGCAAAAATAACCAGTGAATTAGAAAATTTTTTAAATTAAGCAGTTTAAATATAGCCTTCAGGATGAAGGCCTTGAGATGGCCAGTGTGCCTTGACCCTTGAAGGAGGTGGACTGTTTTTAGAAACCAAACTGCTCTCCCGGTGCTAGGTGGAGGCAGACAACAGAAACATAATAGTGTGTCCTTTCCTTCCAGCAAATGTGCTTTGAGCTCTCAGGCCTTCCATCCCCTACTGTTTCTTAAGATGCGGCTATAAAACCATGTGCCCTAAAGCTCTGGAGGAAAAGGCCAAATCATAAAGGGGATCGCTGGAGTGTTATCCAGCTTGTAAAAGCTTAAAATAGTGGCATGAGGTTCCTGAACTTATAGGGGTTTAAGAGGCCTGCCTCCAAGGACTTGGCAGCCAGAGGGCTGCTTTGTAAAAGACGGGAGAAGCAGCCTCTCAGTGTTGCTGCCGCTCTCATGATAGCAGAGCCAACACCTCACCTTGTGAAAACAACAAGCCGTTTCCGCAAGCCATGCAATCTCTCCCACATCTGCGGTAGCAGCACTTTGGCAGCTCAGCTTCCCAGAGCTGCCAGCTGTGTTCCGAGCCAGACCAATGTGCCAGGGCCAGTTTGAGCAGTGATCAGAAAAGAGCAGGCTCCCCGAAGTGAAACATGCACATCCTCTAGCTTGGTGGGGCCCTACGTGGAAATCTGTTCTGAGACAGTGCCGTTGTTCGCCTTCCTGACGCTTGTCTTGCCCAAGGCAAGGGAGGGGACATCAGAAGATCCAGACCAAACCCCTCTTGCACAACTTGTCATTGGACAAATCAGAGAACTGAGGCCCCAGAGAGGCTGATTGGGTATTGCCAGGCTACAGTGTCAGAGTTGGGACTAGTCCCCAGGGTGTGCCTTGTCTCAAGGCTATTTTTTGTCATCCTGGTCCTCCCGTTAGAGACGGTCCCGGTGCACACATGGCTTACAGGCATGTAAAGAAAGCGACAGCACAAAGCACAACATGCCAAGAATCTTATGGTGGGTTGCTTCACTGAATAGGCATCCAGGGGAAGGGACAGTCAGCAGGGGTCTAATGGAAAGGGAAGGTGCCAAGCAGGGGACAGTGGTAGACACACAAAAAGAAGGCTGGGGGCTGACGGTGGAAGCAAAAGTGTGGAGGGCACTGAAAGAAGGGTGTGATTAGTAAGACTGGGACAGTGGCTGAAAGAGCAGCTTCTGAAGAGGACGGGGAGGTGGAGGAAGCGCAGGAATCAACTGCAGGGCCAATGCTAGAATCCTGACTGTGCATGGAAGCCAAGTTGATAGAGGCTCTGGACCTCTGCTTGGGAAGTATCAGACAGCCAGTGTGTGGGATTCTTTCTAGGATGCAAGGAGACCCCAATTAAAGCCCAGTTTTTAAAAATGTTAATAAAGTGCCGAGGACTTAGACTCAGGAATTGGCAGCAAGTTCGGAAAGGAAAGAGATACTACATTGAAGAGCTGGTCACTGGCAGGATGCTAAGAGAAAACAAGGGAGAGAATTCATTAGTTAACAAAAGTATAACCTAATTTTGTCTGTTACAAACAAAATTAGCTAAAGGCAAAATAGGATGAAAATTTCTTCTAAAAATGTTACTCCAAAGGAGTCTTTTTTTTTTTTTTTTTTTCATTTTTATTTTTACTCATCTGTGTGAAATAGGACAAAGTAGTCTTTCTTAAAAGCAGATGTGACAAGGATATTACCTTGCCTGAAATCTTTCGGTAGTTGTCCCAAGGTCCAAACCCTCTTGCATAACGTAAAAGGCACCATGTGATGTGATCGCTTCCTATTTCTGAAGCCTTGGGTTATCAGTCATAAGAAATAACGAGCAGGTTCCAGAATACACCAGTCCTCCTTGCCAGTACCTCCCTATCTGGAAAATACCACACATCTCTTAAGACTCAGCTCTTGTGTCCCCTCATCACCTGTTTTAGTGTGACCCTAAAGGCTTCCTGGCCTCCCACCCCAGACAGAAGTCTCAGCCTTTCCTTTGCATCTCTGGTGCCCTCTGTCCTCAAGGAAAAGCAAGTAGGACAGCTTGGTTGACATTAGAAACGGGGCCGGGCACGGTGGCTCACACCTGTAATCCCAGCACTTTGGGAGGCCAAGGCAGGCAGATCACTTGAGGTCAGGATTTCGAGACCAGCCAGGCCAACATGGTGAAACCCCGTCTCTACTAAAAATATAAAAATTAGCCAGGCATGGGGGCATACACCTATAATCCCAGCCACTGGGGAAGCTGAGGCACAAGAATCACTTGCACCTGGGAGGTGGAGGTTGCAATAAGCCAAGATGGCACCACTGCACTTGAGCCTGGGTGACAAAAAAAGAAACAGGTTGAAGGTTGAATGGGGTAGTGAATCACTCACTGGCTGGGGGTTGAGAGGAGTCTCTGACTCGTGCTCCCCTGCTTCCTTGACACTCTTAACTTTCTCTTACAAACTCCATTGCCCACCATGTTCCAGCCAGGGCAGTGCAGTTTGTGAGGCCTTTGGCAACCTTGGAGAAATAGTTTGCTAAAGTCGCTTCTATAGCAGTATGAGCCTCTTCCTCCTCCTTTCTCTCAGGAGAAGACACAGCTGCCCTTGGACAGGCTCCTGACAGACTGGCCCACTCCTGAAGACCCTGAACCCCTGGTCATCAGTGAAGTCCTTCCTCAAGCGACCCCAGTCTTCAGACGTCCCCATGGCTCCAACTGGCTACAAAGGGGCAAAGGAACCCAAGGTCACCAGACCTCTGAGAGAGACATGATGCCCAGTGCCTCAAGCCCACCACCTTCAAGAGCTCTCCCAGCTGAGAGGAGACAACTGGTAGATCTGTACAAGGTGCTGGAGAGCAGGGGCCCTGACTCAAAGCCAGAAAACCCGGCCAGTCCCTGGACGGTGCTCCCGGCGGGCGACCTTCGCGCCCAGGATGGCTACCTACCCTCCAACATAGATGATCTCCCCGCACACGAGGTGCCTCTCTCTGACTCCCTGGAAGAACTGGAGCCTCAGCACATCTCCCTTTCTGTTTTTCCCTCAAGTTCTCTTCACCCACTCACCTTCTCCTGTGGCGATAAGCTGACTCTGGATCAGTTAAAGATGGGGTGTGACTCCCTCATGCTCTGAGTGGTGAAGCTTGAAGCCTGGAAAGTCAGCTTGCCCCCAACCAGCACAGCCTGCCCCAACTCTCCCAGCCCCAACGCCAGCGGCTGTCATCTCTGGGTTCCACCATCAGTCTGCCTGCAGCTAGAGGACAGGCAAGCCAGCTCTGGGGGGTTCTTAGGAACTGGGAGTTGGTCTTCACACAGATGCCTCGTCTTGCCTTTCCCAGGGCCTTAAGTTTACAGCCTTCACCATGTGGACTTAGAGACTCCAACTTGAATTCCTGGTAACTTTCCTGGCTATGCTGGCCAGGAAGGGAAAAGAGGAGGAGAGTAGAAACCACAGCTCCTAGTGGTAACAGCAAATAATCCAGAGGACCATTCATGCAAAGACGATTTCTAAAATCACCTGCTGCATAGCAGACTGTACACAGCAGATCAGCCCTGTTCAACAGAACTTCCTGAGATGATGGAAACGTTCTACCTCCGCACTCACTGGCCAATGCAGTAGCCAGGCGTCCCCACACTTTTTACACAGGGGGCCAGTTCACTGTCCCTCAGACCGTCGGAGGGCCGCCACATACTGTGCTCCTCTCACTGACCACCAGTGAAAGAGGTGCCCCTTCCTGAAGTGCGGTGGGGGGCCGGATAAATGGCCTCAGGGGGCCGCATGCGGCCCGCGGGCCGTAGTTTGGGGACGCCTGCAGTAGACACTAGGCACACTGGATGTTAATCACTTGAAATGTGTTTAGCTTGACTGAGGAATTAAATTTTGATTGTAAATTTAAATCGTCCCATGTGGCCAGTGGCTATTGTTTTGGAGAGCACAGTTCTAGATGGCTCCTAGATTACTGGGAGACGCCATAACAAATCAGCCTAGTTCCATGGACGAGGACATAAAAGACACCAACGCCAGTGTCAAAGGGCCCCCAAGGTGGTCATGACAGGTTTTATTTGTATTAGTCTAAGAATGTACCTTTTTCCTAGTTTTGCTGGTTTATTGTTTTATTCTGGCTTCATCCCTTTCAGTGAGTCAAGGGCAGCTGGATGGTGAAGAGCTACCATAAACTCACTATAGGACGCTGAGCCAGCCAGCATCCCCTCTGAATCTCAGGTGTCTTGTAAAGGGCTAAATCAAAGGCTCTCTGACCCCTTGTTTCCTCTCCTTTTTGCTGTAGCAGGTGCTGCCTTCAGGACGAGAGCTGTCTCAGGGTCTAAGACCCCAACCTCCAAGGCTACTCTCAGAAGTTGTCTGTCCCCTATTCCCAAAGGCACAGCTTTCATGCCCCAAGAAGACTTTGAGCTGGCCCTCTGACAGCTCAAGTTGAGCCTGGAAGATAACTCTCTTTTCCACAGCATGGACTTGGAACGTGATCCATGTTTTGCTCTTTAAACTGTGGCCCCTTGCTTGTCACTCTCCCTGGTGCATTGCTACCTCTGGCTCTTCACCATAGGCACTTCTGCCAAACTAGTGGAGAAAAGTCTTTGTCTAAACTGCTAATAGTGCTCTTCCCAAAAGAACAGGATAAAAGATCCAAAAAACTTTTTCTTAAATTCCTGTCAAGCCTGGGGTCTAACCCCCACCCCTTCCCACACAAACACTGGAACAGAGATGGCTTTGCCATCATCCTCTAGATTTTCCTTTTTTTTTTTTTTCTTTTTTTTTTTTTTTTTTTTGAGATAGAGTCTTGGCCTGTTGCCAGGCTGGAGTGCAAGGGTGCAGTCTGGGCTCACTGCAACCTCCGATTCCCTGGTTCAAGCAATTCTCCTGCCTCAGACTCCCCAGTAGCTGGGATTACAGGCACGTGCCACCATGCCCAGCTAATTTTTGTATTTTTAGTAGAGTTAGGGTTTCTCCATGTTGGCCAGGATGGTCTCGATCTCCTGACCTCGTGATCCACCCACCTAGCCTCCCAAAGTGCTGGGATTACAGGTTTGAGCCACTGCGCCCGGCCTCTGGATTTTCATTTAACAAAATACCTGTTGCAAATGTGTACTTCTTCCCTAATGTGCGGCACTAGAAACTTGTCCATACAGAGCCCGGTCCTGTATAAATGACTGTTCTTGTGCTTTAGGTTTACCAGATTTCCCCCAGAGATCTAAAAATTGCACAATGAACACTTGCTCTGCTGCTTCATGTTGAAACTCTTGATACATCCTTGTTTCCTGCGATTCCAAACTTAACATCGATAGTTTTCTCAGGCTTTTTCTTTTTCTTTTTTTTTTGAAAAGTTCCTATTACCATTCCACTTTATGTAGCTATTATTGTGGGGCACCCCCAAGGGTTCCTTTCCTCTCAGCATCGCTGCAGCATGCCTGCACCCAGGACGTGCCCTTGACTGGCACAAACCATGCCAGACAAGGCCACCGCCTCAGAAATGGACCAACCGACTATCTTTTGGCAATGGGAGCTAACTTCACTGTTTTCGTACAATACCTGGTTTTTCCTATCTTTGGTTTCCTTTTGATGACCCGTCATCCATCTCAGCCACTCTCCTCCTCCCCTCTTTTGTGTCCACAACACCCCATTTAGCAAGTCTTCCATTTAACCTCCCACCCTTTTTTCCCTTAAAGTCTCAGATGATACTGTAACTCTCATTCGTCTTTGCAAAAAAAGATTTTTTTTTTTTTTTTTTTAAGGAATCCTTCCTTGATTCCTAAAGACTCCTAAGGATGCTGAGGCCTCCTCAGCATGAATTCCAATACTTACTTTCTCTGTTGTTCTGCAAACAATTTGAAAGCAAGCACTTTGGCAGTGTTTCTCCAGCACTAGCATCAGGCCTGGTCCATAGTACCTAGCAATAAAAAAGTAAGCATCATGAGCCCACAAGTATCTGTAAAAGGTCTCAATTAATTTAAAAAGTTTTTATTTTGCCAAGGTTAAGGACACACGCTGACACAGCATCAGGAGGTCCGGAGGACAGGTGCCTAAAGTGGTTGAGGCACAGCTTGGTTTTAGACATTTTAGGGAGACATAAGACATCAATCAACATATGGAAGATGTACATTGGTTGGGTCTGGAAAGGCGGGACAACTCAAAGTGGGGGCTTCCAGGTCACAGGTAAATAAGAGACAAAAGGTTGCATTCTTTTGGGGTTTTGATCAGCCTTTCATTAAATACACAATTTACATGTGAGAAGGAGGTAGCTCAGGTGAGCAGAGGGATGGTGCTGAGTTCTGTCTATACTTTGTCCCACACCTGTGAAAATCAGCTATGGTGAAATTCAACACAACTGTTTTAGGGTAAAGATCCTGAAGCCCTCGAAGGCAAATTTTGACGACAGTAGACAGTTTCTTTTTGAGGTGGGAGATACACTGGGAGGCAGGTTTGCCTGATGCAGTTCCCAGCTTGACTTTTCCTTTTAGCTTAGATTGATTTTCTTTTCACAACAGTATCACCTGCCACTGCTTTGTCTTATTCTTTCTAGTCTGGAAGCTAGCCCAGCTGTGCCCACTTCCTCATTATTGGAACAATTGTTTGCATTTGCTCATTTTCCTTCCCAAACCTCATTCTACCCCACTGTTTGTTGACAGCACCGCTGTGAATGCACAGAGGGGTATTTCTCGTTTTAAAGACATATTTGAGCATGTCTTTGGCCGCTACTCTGCCAGATAAGGTGTCATCTTTCCATGAATGACAGAGGATGGGTAACTCCATTCTGCCTTGTCCCAGGTGGTTTTCACAATCTGCTCTTCTCCCTTCTGCCCCCCCCCAACACTAGTAAAAACCCCAAGCCAAGTTGCTAGATTCACCAGGTTTAGGTGGAACTCACCAATGTAGAGTCAGGCTTTCATTTCTCAGGAAAATTGTCAGTAATTTCGTGGTGTGATAATGTTGGAAATAGGTTTGTAACGTTGGGAGGAATCCACACCGAGACAATGGATCGCTCAGCAAGGCTACTTTTACTACCTGCAGGAAGGGTGCGACTCGCTGGCAGTCTCGCCGCAAGAGCACACCTGAACAAAGGAGACAGGGACATTTATAACGTTCATAACCTGATGCAGTCGCCCTACTGCTGTGTCAGTTTTCATTGGCCAGAACGGGACCTCACATTCTATGTTTTACCCAATTGGCTAAAAACTTGAAAATTTCCTGAATAGTTAAGGGGGGCAGGGAAAGAAGACAAGGAAGAAGATGAGGAAAAAGAGGAAGCTAATCAGGAGAAAGGAGGGTTTCCAAATAAGGAATGGCATGCACAAGGGTTTGGAACTTGTCCAGTTCTGTTCAGACATGCCAGAGTGAGTCAAGGTAGCTGATTTGGAGAATATACATACATGAGTATATATTTATACTAATAGCAGATAATGGCCATAGAGCAAGAGATTGTAACTCCTTATAATGTAGTCTAAGATAAAACTTTGAAGAACTTTCCCATCTCTCACATATAATGATATATATTGGTTTTCATCTATGGTTGCTGGCTCATAATGTCAGAGGCGTTTGAACCAGAGTGACTCCATCTTGAACAAGGGCTGGGTAAAATAAGGCTGAGACCTACTGGGCTGCATTCCTAGGAGGGTAGGCATTCTTAGTCACAGGATGAGCTAGATCAGCACAAGACACAAGTCACAAAGACCCTGCTGATAAAAGAAGTTGTGGTAAAGAAGCCAGACAAAACCCACCAAAACCAAGATGGTCATCCTCACTGCTCATTATATGCTAATTATAATGCATTAGCATGTTAACAGACACTCCCTCTAGTGCCATGACCCAATAGTGTCTAAAAGGGGAAGAAACTCAGAGCTCTGGGAATTGCCCACCTCTTTCCTGGAAAACTCATGAATAATTCACCTCCTGTTTAGCATATCAAGAAATAACTTGGCTGGGCTCGGTGACAGCTATAATCCCAGCAATTTGGGAGGCTGAGGTGGGTGGATCACCTGAGGTCAGGAATTCGAGACCAGCCTGGCCAATATGGTAAAACCCCATCTCTACCAAAAATACAAAATTAGCCATGCACGGTGGCCTGTGCCTGTAATCCCAGCTACTCAGGTGGCTGAGGCAAGAGAATTGCTTAGAAGCCGGGAGGCAGAGGTTGCAGAGAACCAAGATTGTGCTATTGCACTCCAGCCTGGGTGACATAGCAAGACTCTGTCTAAAAAAAAAAGAAAAGTACTCAATCAAGCAGCCTATGTTGCTGCTCTGTGTATGGAGTAGCCATTATTTTATTCCTTTACTTTCTTAATAAACTTACTTTCAATTTACTCATTTACCTCAAATTCTTTATTGCTCAAGATCAAGATCCCTGTCCCATAACAATAACTCC